CCCCTCTGGTCTGGGAACGTCTCAGAGTCCCCCAGGACGAGCTGGAAAGTGTCTCTGGGGAGAGCGGGGTCTTTCTCCTGCAAAACATTGGTGAATGCCACAAATTCTCCTAAATCACTCGTACGCACAACTTAAGAACAAATCTGTGCGTACGAACGGTTCTTGCATGAGGCCCATTACCTCTAAACATCCAGAAAAACGTTGTAAAAAGAGAGAGAGGGCTGTTATAATCTTAAGGGGACAGAGATGTTCATAAAACCTAAATTTAGAGCATGTTTGAAAGAACAGTGCAGCTCAATCCAAGGAGTCAGATTGTGGAATAATCTGGAAGATGATATTAAAAGTGCCAAGTCACTGTACATGTTTAAAAGAATGATAAAGGCTAGATTGTTAAAAAAATATGAAACATCATAAAAAACAAAAAATAAGTAGGTTCTCTGGATGGGTTCTTCTTCAGACAATATAATCTGTATCCATATAATTTATTGTTCTAGAATGATTTGATGTTCTTGTTTTGTTTTGTTAACTGAAGATGATTATTGTTTGAGTTTATACTTGAGGAAAAATGGGGCAGATGTTAAAAGATTTATCTTCTCTCTGCCAAATTTCATTTCATTTTATTTGTGTTTTCTTTTTTTATTGCACATAGAATTAATTTTGTTTTATAAGAAATGAATAAAGTTTAAAATAAAAATGAAAAACCTGATTAAAATACATTTTCTAGATGTATTTTTGTGCTGCCAGCTCTCCTGAGAATGAAACTTKTGTTGTGTTTTTAATCACAGAGAGAGAACACTGGGAGTTGTGCAACAAGTGCAACTTAATGAGGCCTAAACGGTCGCACCACTGCAGTCGATGTGGTCACTGTGTGCGCAGGATGGACCACCACTGCCCGTGGTAAGCTTCATGTAACGTTGAGGTGATCCAATAAAAGCAGAGATGTGGTTGGTTCTTCTCCACTCACACAGAGGTGTTTAATTCAATATTTTGCTTACTGCTGATTAATATTATAATAGTTTTGGATTTTTAATTACAGTTTAGTTTTATTTTATTGTGAATTTTTTTCTTTTAATTCAGTTTTAACTAGTTTTTACAGTGGATTTGCTGGTTTTTATTATTAATTATTGCATTTTTAATGCTTAGATTTAGTTTAGTTTTTATTAGTTCTAGTATTAAAATATTTTATTTTCCAATGCATCCTCCAGCTTGTGATG